CCTGGAGAGCGTGAGAGACATGACATTTTCTCAGAGCAAGTTACCAGTTTTCTAAAATGATAAAAAAAAAAAAAAAAGATGTGAGAGGAAAGACTCAAGATTGTTTAAGTCCAGTGAACACCGGCAGGACCGTAAAAGCTGCAACAACCGAGAGGAGTTTCGGGGCATCCGGACGGCACAGTGACGCTCAGGGAACACGGGGGCGTGCGGGAGATTCGACGCGGTTCTGCATTTGCAGCTTCGGGAAGCTCCCGCCAGGCCCCACGCGAGCTCCCGTCCCCGACAGTAACCGTATCGCGGGTGCTCTGAGGTTTCAGCTGCGTGAAACAAGCAGAAAACCCATTTGTCGTCACCTTCAAGCGTCACATCCATAAAGGGTTGGGGGTGGGCGTGGATGCATGAGGCATGGAGCCTGTCGAGCCCCCGCCAATGAGGACCTGGCCTTTGGGGTCGCCTCCACGCCCGGGAGGCACCTGCAGGCATGCAGGGCGGGGCGGGGGGGGTGGACTGAGCTCCGCTCCGGTACCCGCCCGTCCCTGGGGATGGATCAGTCCCACTGTGCTCCAGGTTCACAGAACACGCTCCCGTGAGGGACTGCAGGAGGAGACCGAGCTGCCTTGAAGCCCTAGTCCTGGGACCCGAGCGACCTCCCCGAGCTCCTGTCCCCGCAGCACCGGCGTCCGTCCAGCAGGGGCTCACCCACACGCGCCTGCTGCGCACCTGCGAGTCCCGGCCGGTGGCACACACCTGCCCGCTGGACGATGGTGCCGATGGACGTCACCAGACGCTTAGAATGTGACCAGCGCGACTGAGGAGTTGATTTTTTAAATTGTCTTTAATCTTAACTAAATACCCAGCCATGCCTCGCAGCTACCGGACAGGATACGACGGCCCTAAAACCTCACAAGGGAACGCAGGCTGCTTTCTCCAGCTGGGGAAACCCGTAGTCACGCCGGGATGGGGTAAGTGCTGTCATTTTTAACAAAAGGGGACAACTACAGTTTGTTCATTCAGCAAACAGTCCTTGACCACCGGCCGTCCGCAAGGCCCCGCGGGCCACCGTGGGAAGCACGCAGCTGGCGGGAAGGACGACGCGGACCCCACACCGTCCGCTGAGCTCGGGCGCTCCCGCCACGTCCGTGTCCCCGCTTCCCGCTTCCCAGTTAGCCCTGGTCTTGCTGGCAGGACTGGCGTGTGCTGGTCGGCGTGAGCCCCGACGGCTCCGAGTGTGACGCAGTCGGAAGCCGGCTCACTTTATGGCACCTGCGTTGGCAACACGCGCCAGGTGACGGGGGCGGCAGCCTTCCCTCCTCCCGGGGGCTGGTCACCTCGGCGGCACACGCGAGATGCGCAGAATGTGGGTTCGCAGGATCCACGCCCCCCAAGCTCACGTGGCAGGGTTGCCCCCAAGGCCGCGCTCCGACCTGCCCCGAACCCCGGGTCTCACGGACCGGGAGGCGCCTGCGGGCCTGAGCCGCCGCTGGAGCAGCTGCCGCCTGACGCGCGGGTGAAGGCTCGTCGCCGTCACGTTCACAGGAGGCTCCAGGAGCTGGCGCCCGTGGACTGGAGCCCGCGGGGAAGGGGCCCACGGGACGTGTCTGCGGCAAGCGTGTCAGACGGTCGGCAGACATTAGCGGACACAGGAAAGACGGAGCAGGCGGCGAGCGGTTAGCAGCAGGCGCCAGGAGCCCGAGGCCGGCAGGTGCCAACGGCCGGGAGTTTCATGGAAACAGTTTCCAAAATCATAAACAGAAGCAGCGGAGAGATGCTAGGAGCCGCGCTCCGCTGGGAACAGCGAGGACCCCATTCAGGGATTTCTGATGCTTCTCAAAGTAGCCCAGCAAAGGGACTGGCAACCCGTTCATCACACAGACGGGTAAACTGAGGCCCCGCCAGCATGCGGGAGCCCATCCGGTGTATGCAAAGCGGAGCCAGGAATGCAGGGCTCGACGTGCCGGTCCCTCCACGTGGCCCACCCCGCTCCCGAGCTGCCTCCTCCCGCTCTGCCCACGCTCCTCCCAGCGATGCTTCCACTCCTCCCCCTTTGGGTCCCCCCCACACGGGGCTCTGGAGGACAGGGCAGGAGGGCGGTCGCTGCAACCAGAGGAGCAGGTGGGCAGTATCGAGGGCAGCCGCCCGCGCCTCGGAGGTCAGGCCCGCCCCCACCTGCCAGGTCCTGGGGTGCAGACCCCGGGTGTGCAGGTGTTCCCTCAGCAGGCACCTGCCCTCCAAGTCCCCACCGGCCTGTCACTAACAGCAGCCTCTGTTCTAAGGAGCGTCTCCGCGCTCTTGCTCCAAGGCTCGCGCCCGTCTCAGGTCTGAGCGACCAGGGGGCCGTCGGGAGACCTCGGGCAGCGAAGTGTGTGCAGGCGGGTGGGCGGGACGGGGATGAAGCCCGGAGCCCGGCCGTGGTGACGCGGAGCACTCTGAGCAGCATCACTGAAGCGCAGCACCCTGTTGGCCACTTTGACGTCACGTCCTCGCGACCTGGGTGACCCTGATGGTCCAAGGGAGGCCGGGTGCTCTGTTCCGGTGACCAGGTGACCTCGGCGCGGAGCAGGAGTCCTCGCTGGGCAGGTGGCTGCCGTGGTGACCTGGAACACGGTGGGCCGACCCTGCAGGGACAAGCGCCCTCACTGCGGCGTATCCTTCGTTCGGACAAACACAGACGGGACGCATAGGCCGTCTCCTGACCAGGGCCGTCCCCCGAGAAGCCTGGCTGGTGGGCAGCCAGTCCTCCAGCGTCCGAGGCCCCTGACTCAGTCTCCCCGGCGTGTGCAAGGAACCGCATGTAAGAAAGCTCAGTGGTTAAGGACTGAGCTTCAAAAGGCAGATGACCCGCCACCCGGGGTTTCGGAGTTGGTGGAGCCTCAGCAGTCAGCCAGCGCCCCTCGCTTTACGGACGAAGAAAGGGATCCGTGCACACGGAAGAGGGGACCGAGCAGGGTCGCACGCTGGGATGGGAACGAGGTCCCTCGACCCCGGGCCCCGGCGCACACCAGCGTCCTCCGGGCCCCGGGTGAGTCGTGTCAGCGCTACGACAGCACGAGAGGCACCCAAGCAACCGGAGCAAATCACTTTCTAGGAGACGTACAGTCACTGCCACTGCCTTTCATTCCCGGTGGAGCTGTCTGGGAAGTGTTGATCCAAGTGGCAAACTGCGCAGTAGTGAGTGTCCAGAACCACGCGGGGGGACAGGCCTGCTGGGTCGCCGGATTCCTGAGCGAGAACAAACCTGCGACGAGGATCGAAGCGCAGGCACCACGTCCCCCCGAGGACCGAGTACGCGCCGGGCGCGGCACCCACCTCCGTACAGACCCCTTGCCTCCATCCCTAAAGCAGGTGTGCGACCCTCGCTCATGGGGGGGGGGGCTGAAGTGTGAAGTCCAGTATCTGTCCCAGCCCCACCGCGTGGCACCTGCCACAAGCACTTGGGACGCGTCACCTTCCAGACGGCCCGTCCCTCAGCCACGGGTCTATCCGCGCCTCTTCCCACTGCTGTGGGGATGTGCCCGGGGCCAGCAGGGGCTTGAGCATCCGGCAGAGGCTCTGAGGACCCTCATCGGGCACCAGGGCGCCACGGTGACCGCCTCGCCCACCCTTTCCGCCCACACCCTTCCTGGGAATGAGACGCGTCCCCGAGTCCCCAGGCTGTCGTGCCCCTCCTGACCTTGGCCGGTGCCTGCCACCTCCCTGCCAGCCCCACGTCCCACACTCCAAACCCCCCTGCGTTCGGTTTTGATGTCTGTTTTCTGCACTGATCACGCTCTTTCTTGTGTTCACATCTTTGCAGAAATGTGTTTGAATAGCTCCACACGTCCCCCTCGAAGTCCCCCCCCCCAGCCTCAGCCTTGGCTCCCCGGGCCCGCTGCCCCTCCCTGCTTTGCCTAATGTAGCGCCGTCGCATGACTTCATCCTCGCATCGATCCCACGCCACCCATTCGTGAGGCGACACTTTCCCCCGTGTCCAGGACGTGCCCGGTATTTGGTGCACACGCCAACGGCACTGATCGGGTCCAACGCGGTCTCACTCGCCGGCTACGTCTGTGTCGTTCCCCTCTGAGTCTGGCAGGGCCTGGGCTCCAGCCCCACGGAGCCTCCCAAAATACACACGCGCTGGACGTGTCCATGTGAGACTGGAAAAACACGTCACATCTCAGGTCCAACACTAAGCTCATCAGAGTCCTACCGACGGCTCACTCGGTCACGGAGATCACACATCTCATGTTAGGACAGAGGGAGCCGCTGCCTCTGTGCCCCGGGTCTTTCCCCCTTGTTCCTCGTGGCACATCCGCAGGCTTCCCCGGAGGATGATGAGTCATTAGCAACGTGGCTTTGGAAAATGGTCCCCTCTGGGAGACTAAGGGGTGGGGTCCTGCTGCGACGGCCGTACCCACCCGTGGGTCGATTTCAGCAGGTTTTAGGAGCGACTGCCGAGCACACTGACTTTGTTTTCTGTGGCGCTGAGATGGGCTGGACGATATTCCTCGCAAGGGCCAGTTGTGCTCGGTCTCTCTACACGGCAACGGGCATTGGCGGTTCATCTTCTTCGCACAGGTCGGTGCGGTGACAGGTGCCGTTTTGTCCGTGGAGTGTAGAAATCCAAGTGCGTCCAAAGCTTTCTCACAGCACACGCGCGTTATGTTTCACGTAAACGGGTGCACGTTCCGCGCGTGGACTACGGCTTCTTGTACGACGTCCGTCCCACATCTTGCGTGTTTGGCAAAGTGTTGAAGAACGTGAATTTGTGTTGTCAGCTGCGTGGCTCGGAGGCAGTGCCTCCCAACCGTCCCCCTGAACTCCGTGGGACCCTCCGCGTTATTATCTGGTGGCCGTAGCGGGGAGCTGGGAGGGGAGGCGAGGGTGGGGGTGCCCGGGTGGGCGCGTGTGTACCTGTGTGGGTGGCGCTCCTGCTAAGCTTTAGCTCGTGTGACCAGGGCCCCTGGTGCTCTAACCTCCAAAGATAGTGACCCCGATCTTCTCTCTGTCTCTCTACACAGCGTCTATGGCTGCCCCTTGGCTAAAAAAAGAAAAACACAGGATAAGCAGCCCCAAGAACCTGCTCCCAAGCGGAAACCGTTCGCCGTGAAAGCCGACAGCTCCTCGGTGGATGAGTGCTACGAGAGCGAGGGGTCGGAGGACGTGGACGAGAAGGAGGAGGACGAGGAGGAGGAGTTCTCGGAGGACGAGGACGAGCACAGGGAGGAGGACGAGGAGGATGAGGAGGGGGACCGGGAGGAAGAGGAGGAGCTCGAGGAGGAGGAGGACGATGATGACGAGGATGGGGAGGACGTGGAGGACGAGGAGGAGGACGAGGAGGAGGAGGACGACGACGACGAGGAGGAGGAAGACAATGGTAATCTTTAAAATAGTAGTACGCGATACGTGGTGACGGGGGCCCGAGTGTCCCCGCGGAGGTCCCGGTGGGGCGGTTCAGGGCACAGCCACGACCGCGTGCTCACAGCGTGAGTGTACCTGGTCGGGGCTGGAACCAGTGTCCGTCCAGGTGTCCTTCACACTGGTCTGGAAACCATTCCTCTCCGTGCGCCGCCAGTCGGCAGATGCTGTGCGTCACTCGGGTCCGAGGGCTCGTCACCGACGTGGGTGCGGTGTTCGCCGTGCGCACACTGATCCAGGACCTTACGGCGGCGCACCGACGAGGCTTTAGCATCCTGTGTTCCCGGAGGCTCTGCCCCTCACATACTGGCATCCGCCCAGGTGCTGGTGTGGGGATGGCTCGGCCTGCTGCCCTCCCAGGGCCGGGAGCTCGACGAGACCCCGGGGGCGCCAACGGGGGAGGCCGCGCTTGTCTGTCGGTGGCCAAGTCATACTTTTTGTCCCGGATTGGGGTGGAAGGAATGTCGCTGAAACGAAACCGCTCCTCGACCCGTCATTGGCTTCGTGCCGGAGGACCGTGTTTCTGACCCGGGGTGTCCAGCGTTGCGAGGGAGCCAGGCGTGCCAGGGCGTGGCGCGCGCGGTGGTGACCGTGCTTTGGGCGGAATTAGGATGGCTTTGCTTTTATATGGTTTCCTGTTAGCGTCAGGCTCACCACCATAAGTTGAAAGATAATCCTTTCCTAAAAGTCATCTCGGCTCTAGAGGAGGGGGGGGGGTTCTGAAGAATCTAGATTTAGTCTTTATTGGCTTCGAGTTTGCCTCAGAGAAACGCCAAATGTGTCTGAAAGCAAAAGGAGTGTCTTCTCTCAGGCTTCCTCCTTGGGCTCAGAGCTCTTGGAAGCCTGAACTCCGGGAGAGCTCATTTCTCGGAACCGGGGACGGCTGCTGCGGCCCGCGCGGAGAGCTGCTTCAGATGGGGTGGGCGTGGGCTGGCTGTGGCTCACGCCGCGCGGCGGAGGCGAATTGATGTTCCTCCTCCAGAGGCCATTCTCGTTGGTTCCTGGGAGCCTGAGTTTTATGACTGTCACAGCAGGTTCAGTCCTGCTCCTGGGGGCAGTTCACCATCCCGTTCACGCAGGTAGACGAGCATGTCCACATATGTGGGCACGCACCCGTGGGTGCACACACACGGATTCCACGCGTTAAAGTGCGGGCTCCCACGATGGTGCTTCCTGCCGTGACATCGGGGAGCGTGGTGTGGACAGAGTCTGATGACGTGCATCGGCCACACACACGTGGGCACCGCCAGCCCCGCTGTGTGGACGGTGGCCCACACCCCAGCGTCCCTGACGAGACGGCGCCGCACGCTGAGCATTACAGGCGGTACCTCCGTGTTCCATTGGGAACGTTGGGAAACAGGCCAACCTGGCAAGTGACTTGTGAGCACCTTTCCTAAATGTGTGCCGTTTGGGGCAAAATCATTAAGTGCTGAAGCTGCTTAACGGCGTGTGACTGGACCGTGGCTCCTTGTGAGGACGGGGCGCAGCAGCATCGCCCTTCCGCGTGCCCGTTCCGAGCTCGGGCAGCAGCGCGGATCCAGGTGCGGGTGTCTGTGCGTGCCGCGTCCCGGTACGAGAGCTCTGTAAACACGCATCACTGAAACCGAGCGTCTCCACCACATTTTAGGTCCTGCTCTTCATTTGCTAGAATTAAACTTCCAAGTGCAGTTTCCTGAGGCTCACATTTTTAAATCCACTTTTCAAGTACCGAGTGACATGTTTTGAAGAAGTGGAGCCTTACGGAAATAGCTTCAGGATGTAACTAGATCGGGGTTTGCTTTAATTATTATTCTAACTCGAATGCTTAGAACGTAGTTTTTTGTTTTTTTGTTTTGGTTTGGTTTTTTTGTTTTTTTTTTTTTAGAACGTAGTTTTTATTTTTTTTTTTGTACTTTTATTTTATTTTTATTTTTTTTAATAAATTTATTTTTTATTGGTGTTCAGTTTACCAACATACAGAATAACACCCAGTGCTCATCCCGTCAAGTGTCCCCCTCAGTGCCCGTCACCCATTCACCCCCACCCCCCGCCCTCCTCCCCTTCCACCACCCCTAGTTCGTTTCCCAGAGTTAGGAGTCTTTATGTTCTGTGTCTCTTTCTGAAGTGAGATAGCGGATCAAAACTAGTGAGAGATTCTAGAAAAATCCAAGAAAAGTTTCTGGGAAAATTCAAGTAAGTGGGCATGATAAGTGGATGTATGACGGAACCGTGAGATGCATGGGGGCATGAGTATGACGCAGGCCCCCGAGTGTCTAATTGCATGACCCACCTAGCACGGTGACTAGCACTCAGGTGTTTAGCAAACACTGGGTGAGAATCCGAAGCATACGAGGGCATAGTTTCTGGAAAGCAAATGCCCATTAAGAGGGTAAATAATCAATTGTCACGTTCCTGGTTTCAGAATTCATATGCAGCATCCAGCTCCCCAGCTAAGCTCCTTCTAGAATCATCTATCATGTAAGACTTTAAAGACGTGTTGGGCCATGGCGAAGTGTCACTCGATCATCAGGCCATCTGCTCATCATAAGACTAATACCTCCAACTAACGGAGTATCCTTGGCACCAAGGTGTAGTGATCTACCCCCTTTCAGATGGTCCCGAGGAGTCACTCGGGTCGAACAGTGATGGTCCGTGGGGACGACCTCCCACCGTGGTTCTGATTGCTGCTAGTTCTCTCAGGGAAGCACCAAAGGCTTGCTCGATTTCTGAGACAAACACAGGTATCTTTCCTTTTTTTTTTAAGATTTTATTTATTTATTCACAAGAGACACACAGAGAGAGAGAGAGGCAGAGACACAGGCAGAGGGAGAAGCAGGATCCCTGCAGGGAGCCCGACGTGGGTGGGACTTGATCCCGGGACCTGGGGTCGCAACCTGAGCCAAAGGGAGATGCTCAACCTCTGAGCCACCCCGGCGTCCCTACAAGCATCTTTCCCAAGAAGAAATCACTGTCAGTGCCTGATATCTAGAGACTGCTTCACCGAGATTTCCTATAACACAGATTTCCTATAACGTTGGAGGCCGCCCATGATCAGTGTCGTAAGACCCCAGTTAGCCAAGTGTTTCATCAAGCACTCGTTTCGCACAAACTCCAAACTATGTTTAATGCAGTAAAATAGGGCTTTGAAAGGCATATAGATCTATCAGTGCCCCGTTTTCATGCCCTCACTTACCAGGTACAGTCTGTGGGACCTTACTGGCAAATGGAGCGCCCACATCGCTGCCAACAGTGTGAGCTCCTCCATGATAGCAACGTCTTTGCCGTGAGAGACGCAGCACGAGCACAGGGCATCCCATTCTGCGTGCCCTCGTCCCCTCCTTGAACGGTTCCGGCTGAAATCGGACCTTGGTGGAAAGCAGGGGGTGTACCTTTCGGTCGGGTGGCCAGAGTTCTGGGTCACCGTCTGGAAGTCAATCTTCCACGCTCCTTGGTTGCTGCTCTTGGTGGCCGTTAATCCCCGAGCTGTCGGCAGACCCCCTCCAAGGCGGGTTGTGCCTTTGTCTTAGCAAACGGAAGCAAGACACTGAATTAGGTTAACAGAGAAGTGGGGCGATCGTAGCACAGAGAGAGGGGAACATTCCAGACAAGGAAGGCGCGAGGCTGGCCCACACGCATGCACGTCCACACGCAGCCGACCGCCATCCGGCAGGAGGGATCAGGGCATCGTGACGGGGCCACACGATATCAGCCTTACGAGGAGATGCAGAGTCCGCCCACGTCTGCTCCTGGGATGCGATCACTGCTTCATCTGCCACAGCGTAGGCAGCGTGTCCCATCTCTGTTACAAACTGGATCGCGTGGTCCCAGACGTTTTGTTTTAGAAAAAAAAAAAAAAACAAACATATTTAAACCCCTGGGCTATCACAACAGGGGCCCAAAGACTGTAGAGGACCATTATTTATAACCTGGGGGTTAGATAGTGATTTTAATCCCAAGGGTCCCCCAGCCTTGCAGTTATGTCTCAGCAGACTATCGCCAATAACGCACACGTCCAGCAGGTGTATTAAGGTTCGGGATTATGCTGGGTCTTCAGTGATTGTGTGAGATGGGTAGAGACCGGTTCACTGTCGTGCTCACTAGAGAGTGAGCCCCAGAAAGATTCGATGATTATCAGTAGCTGGTGGTCGTGTGGCAGACTGTGCGGACGGCTCTTCCTACCGGGGCCTCGTGTTCTTTTCATCACTTTCTGCCTGTTTGAGCAACAGGGAAGAGGATCTGAGTGATTCTTTTCGGATTACATTAAATTCGGATAGAATTAATCAAAATTATATTTTGTCCGGTTGGCCTGGTCTTTTGCACGGAGGATTTTATTTTCAGAATGCGTTGCAATGGCCTAGGCTGCGTTTATTTTTTTTTAGATTTTTTTTATTGGAGTTCAATTTGCCAACATATAGCATAACACCCAGTGCTCATCCCTCCAAGTGCCCCCCTCAGTGCCCAGCACCCAGTCACCCCCACCCCCCGCCCACCTCCCTTTCTCCCTTGTTATTTTCCCGGATTTAGGCTGCGTTTATTAAATGAAAGTCCCCCTTTTATACTAAAGGTAAGAAAGTTATGGTTCAGGGGATCATAGATTTTTTTTTTCTAATAGCAGATTTTGTCTGTCCCGCGGTAAATATCTTTTCGGATTCTTAACAATTTGAGAAATCTAGGTAAAGTGGTCACTTAATGCCTCACCAATGGTGGTCTAATTTCCTAGTTCACCTCCACTAAAAATACTACTTTAAATAGTACGGGCACACGTACGTGTGTCTATACCATCAGCGTGTCTATGTGTGTCCCTGGGAGGACGTGCAGACCTGCCCACTGACCGGAAAGACGATTCCGTGGGCCAAGAACACAGCAATTTGCTCTCCAGACAAGAGAAAACGTCCATGCTCACGGCCGTCTTCAACACATAACCGTTGCTTCCCATGTGCCGTTTCTGAAACACACCCCTGTAAGGAGGTGGAGGCCTCT